TGACAGTCGAGTTCTCCTTTGTCCCAGTCGTTTCCGTTACAGCAACCTCGCAGTCCCTGCTGCCACGAGTGCATCATGGAACGAGTCAGCTGTCCTGGCGTGACGTTGCAAGCCAGTTGCAAAAGGGTTTAACTGAAAGTTCGTGGCCGCCATCGCCTGATGCAGTGGACTGGAATTGCCACAAAAGGTCCTAATTGTAGTTACTCCTTTCGAACATTCCGCCTGAGTTTGTTGAGGCATCATGAAGCGACATCTCAAAACCTACACCCTTAACTCGTTACCGTCTGGGACCTGGCTGAGAGCTTATTTCGGCATGTGCCCAGACTCAGGCAACCCTAAACCCCCAAACCCCTAAACCCCTTAAAAACCCCTAAACCCGAAACCCCTAAACCCCAAACCCTTAACCCTAAGCCCTTAAACCCTAAACCCAAGTCAGAATCAGAGCTACACAAAGCTTCCTGGACTTCGGGAGGCGATCCGCCAGTTCCTGTGGTGTTTCAGGCTCAGGCACCCATCTTCTTTCTCTGCTCCTCGAGCTGGCCCTTTCAGCAATCTAGGGGTCCTCTCCCACGGTATTCTGAAGGCGTCTCATTTCTCGGTACATTGGTGGTTGTTTGTCCCGATCTAGAATCTAGACTGAGAGACTACCTCCTTCACCTCCTGATGCCGGTTGTGGGCCGTAGTCACGCACGCATGTCTCAAAAACCATCATGCAACAACTCGACGATGTGCGAAGGACGGGGTTGTCCACACCATCAGGGCTATCCTGATTGCTGGCGTCGCGCTGGCATTGATAGACTCTTGTCTGGCAGTCATGTAAGTGATTGCGCTCCGTGCTCTTTAGAAATGCTTCTGTGGACCTCAACTTGCAGACATGGCAGGGGCTGCTACTTGTTGAGGGTGATGTCTCATGTGTATGACTCTGGTTGCGGGCGCGCAGGGATTACGTAAGACTGCTTGACGGTGCTGCCCTTTTTTGTGGCGGGTGATGAGGCCTTGGCGGGCACGATGAGTGGACTGAGTTCCCGGTTGCAGCTATGTAATCGAGACTCTAAGTTGCATGACCATGGTTTTACCAGTGTCATTGCGCATGTAGATGCAATGGCTATATCGATAAGCCCATAATTATGTTGAAGTAGCATGTCCTTGTTCGTACAAGTCGGAGGTAGCTGTCAATCAGCCTGATGGCTTGTTCTTGGCTTTTGAGGCCCCGGGCTTCTCATCGAGTGCATGTTGCCATCAGTATCCGGGTTTAGGACTACTAGGGCTTATTATCGGAGTTCTCCCGTCGTAGTCGTGATGATTCAGGCAGGAAAAGCGGCTGATTCCCCAAGCCAAACCAAGCAAGACTTTGACTCGACACCCTGACTCTTAAATCGAAAACTCCCCAGGCTGGAATATTGACCTCAAGACGTCTTGCCTGAAGGGTTTCATACAGGGACTGGCTAGACGGGGACTAAGGCCTTTGGGTTGCCTTTAGTCCATTCATATCCGGGCTGTTCCTCCTGATCCTGGGTGGAAAGACTGCCTTGCCTAAAAACAAGAAGTTGGTAGAGCTGTGGAGGAAAATTCCTGGCTTTGTGTGATCTTACGTGTGGGTGCAACCGGGAGCTCGCCGATTCGGCTTCCTAGCCTTCGCAGATGGTTTTGAGGCAGCGGCATTTCGTGAATATTGTGTACATGAGACTTCATGGTTAGACGCACAACATGGCATCACCGGCATCTACAGCTTCTATAGGTTTTATTCGTAAAGTGTAGGGGCCTAAATTTGCAATACTATTTTCGGAGTTCCTTAATATGAATTATAGTATAATGGGCCCAACCTTCTTCTAATTACTAAGGCCCCAATACCCTATTCTAGTCACTAAGGCCCTTATATTAGCCCTACATTTGGTCGAGCGAAGCATTCAGATTGAGATGCCCGCGGGCGGACTCGAGCACCCCAAGGCCCCAAACTTCAAACCAGGTTTTGGGCCCCAAACCCTAAACCCTAAATCAGGTTAGATTTGGCACGTCGTCTAACATGGACCTGGTGCCTTTTTTGGCTGAAGCCTGTAATAGGATGGAAAGCCTAATTGGCATGCCTTAAATCGAAGGTGTGCCTGCAAAGACATAGTCCAGACATGTACCCTGCAATGCGGGCTCGTCCTTGCTAAGTAGGAGGCAAAAAAAATCAGGTTAGAACCCTAAACCCTAAAACCCGAAACCCTCAACCCTAAACCAGGTTTGAGCCTTCTCTCGATCAGGACCACAGATCTTGAGGCACAGGGACTCTTGGGCTTCCACGGTTTGGATGTTTAGGGCTTAGGGGTTTAGGGTTTGGGGTTTAGGGTTTAGGGTTTAGGGTTTGGGGTGTTTCAAAGAGATTTAAAAGGGGCTACATAGGGACAGGTGTTGGTTCAATCCACATAGGATGTAGAGTGCTTGCCGGTTCTTTGTACGATCCCATTTGACAAGAAATTAAGAGCAGCGTTTTGAGCTCCTCGAAAATAGACTTATCACAAGGAGCCCTAAGGAAAATCTCGCAAATTAGTTAGAAGCTTCAATTTTGCAGCGCCGACTCGCAGCAGTTTCCTGGAGAGGCATTTACGAAGTCGGAGGACCCGGAGCACCAAGAGTTAGGAAGATCCTTTTTCACCGACTCTCGACAAAATGTGAGCACCTGCGACTTACCTTGGGGAACACGTTTTGCTACCGTAATTATCTTCGTTTTCTTGCAATTTGGAAAGCAAAGTGATCACTGAGCAGAGAACTCACGTGACCGTGTCCAAGTGTCACTGCCGAAACTTGAACCTCGCAGGCGCAGGAGCCTTTTGCGGGTTAAGGGCATGTGGTTGGGGTGGATGTTTGGATCTTACTAGGGTTTGTGGAGTTCAGGGCTTTAGGGCTTAGGGCCTAGGGATCATAGGGTCTTAAAGCAAGGCCACTGAGAGGTTTTTTTGGAAGTCTGTCCCAGGTAGTATCCGACAAGCACCTGCTGCTCGTGACGCTGCTGCTTGTTACTTTACTGCTCTTAGGAAGGATATGGGAGTTTCCGAAAATAAGGGGTACCTTATTTTGGGGGTCCTTATAATAAGGATCCTACTATTTAGGGTACTATACTAGGGTCCCCTATTTTCTGAAACTCCCATATGTTTTTGTTAATTTTCTTGTAATACAACTCCAGCAGAATAACAAGATGTTTTTCTCCGGCTCGAAGGGCACCTAAGGTTAACACAATGGCGACGGAGACGTTGCCCCTGGTTCTCAATGCCGCTTGTGCCTGCATGCGGAGGGGCAGAGAAGTAATTTTATGGGCACTTCGCAGACCCCAAAGTAGAAGTCGCGCAGCGAACGGTATCGCATAATGGAGGTAGTTCAGTTCTAACGGTGACCACCATTCCAGCATAAGATCGGCAAAGTCGTCAAGGCAGGATGGCCCCCAAGATCACGGGTAGAATGCCGATGGCATGTGCAGCCTCACAAACAACCACTCCACTGCGGTACGCTGGGCTGCTCAGTTCCGAGATGCCCCTTTGCTTCGGTGGTTGCGTTGGATAATCGAGCACAACAAAATCAATGTCTCCACGTGCATTGAACTTTTTGTCCTCGCATTCCGAATTGAACGTTGCATCAAGTGCTCAGTGCCAGATGTACGAAGGGTTGTCACCTACAATCAAATTTAAACAAACGACATGCGATGCAACACAAACATACACGCAGACAGGGCGAGTGAGTGGGTGACATACATACATACATACGTACATACATACATTGATACTGCACATACATGCGCCCCGAAACGGGAAGCCATGATGCAAAGCATCTACATGGTTCGCAGAACCAGTTCCAATCTAGAGCTTTGAAGAAGCAAACTCAGAGAGCAATCAAGCACCTGGCAAGCGGAAACCACAGAGGAGTGATGTCCAGGGTCAGGTTCTTAATTCCAACACCCTATCCGTCGTCGGAGGTCTGCACGGCACCAATCATGCACAAGGAATGCTATAGCAAGCAACTTTAAACCCTCCCTAAACCCTGAACTCAGGGCTCCAAACCCTACCTATAGTCTCCATTGCAGTTCCTTTTCTTGGTAGGTTAAAGATACTATAAGGTAACCCCAAGAAGGGAACCTAAAACCTGAACCCCGACGCGGGTGCCAAAACCCCGACCCGACGCCCGAGACACCAATACCCCTCCCTAGCCAAGTGGGAGGCAAGAAATACCTAGACAGACCCTTTGGCAAACTTTAGGCTAAGTACGCCATAAACATTCCCAGCCGAAGGCCTAGCAACAGGGAGGATTCGTAAACTTGGATGGGTGAAAAGATCCTTGAGGGTCTAGACATGTTGCTAGTTCCACCCAAACGAGGTCGAGATGAATGCTGCGCGCTTGCAAGTTGAACAAGCCGAGTAGCCTTGTTTTTGGGACTTTCGGCATGGCTGTCCGCTTAGGCATGTAGCCAAGACGAGAGGGTGTTGCAAGACAGACTGGGGAGTTGATCATTCCTCTCAAAGCATCATCCCCAAAGGGTCCAAGTACCATTATAGTGGGTACTTAGTGGGTATTTGGGCCCCAAAAGTATATACTATACTAGTACTTGGACCCTTTGGGATCATGGCTCTTTGCGGGGTCTCTCAGTCCATACTATGGTGCTATACGAAGACAAGTTGCCCAGGCCGATCCCAACCTGCAGAAAATAGTCTTCAGTTCCTGGCAGAGACCTTACAAGCAAGATGCATGTGAAAAGCAAGCATTGGGCATCAATGCAGCCTATGGGAACATAAGCACAAATTGCCCTGTATATAGGCCACCGCAATCATTATGAAGAGAAGACTCGACGAACCACCTGCTTCAACGATCTTCTGTAGAAATCCTCAACATCGTACAGACAAGCTCATGAGGCCTTACCAGCAGGTTCTTGGTCCCATCATCGTCTAAGCCCACCGGGATCCTTGTACTTCGCATCAGACTCCTTTCAGGCCGTAGCCTCTGCGACCGTCGGTATTCTTGGCCTTCTAGTCGGCGGCGTGACCTGGTTGAGCACTGGTCTTGGAAGAAATCATTGCTGTAGCCGAAAGGACGGAGGGTCGACTCATGTCAGTCTTCTTTTGGATTGCCTGCTGCGAGTGCTGAAAGCAGATTCAATTCGCTAACAGTCAGTATCCTGGACCCCAAAAACAAGACAACATTTCCAGACCCTCCACCCTCGGCTTCTGAGGAAATTTTACCGCAAGCGCTTTTCAGTGTGGTTTCACTGAACACACTGAGCCACTTTCTGCCCTTCGTGCAGGCCGGGAGCTTTCAGGCTTCGAGGTTTGCTGACACAGAAAGGTGTAGTAACCCTAAACCCCACGTAATTTTTTCCTTAAGTAACTAGTAGTTCATTCGCCTACATCGTAGGTTACTATATGACGGGTATAGAGCCACTACACCGGCCCAGTTTTTGCAGCGGAACTATAACTCTCGCAGACCAGTTCCAAGCTAGTCAGGGGGGCTGCGGTGGGTTCAGGGTTCATTGTTTTGAGTCTACAAGCAGAAGAACAACAATAACAAACATTGTTAGAATCATTGATCGTATGATTATTGCTACTTTTGTTACTGTGATTAGTATTGTTTTTACTTTTACTATTTATTATTCTTAATATTAATATTATTCTTATTATCCTTATTATTATTCTTATTATGATTATTAATAGTAGTAGTAGTAGCAGTATTCTCATTTTAAGGGTCAGGGCCAAGTTTTGCTGTCTAGGGAGCAGCTGAGTACTTCAGGTGTTGCTATGGATCTCCTGGCCTATAGCTCGGCCGTTCGCAACAGTCTTGGACCCTCCGCTGCAGCGGTTTAGGGTTTAGGGTTATACAGTTATACATCAATCACACTACTGGGTAGCGACGATAGCTGTCATATCAGCAGATCGACACGAAGAAAGCAGCAACGACACTCCGACATGTGCACTGACAGCAACAGCATCTACATCCCGTCTGTGTCGCAGCCCAGCAAACCCCCAAGAAGGCAAGATACACGCACCCCGCGTTCAGCGGGCCTGCAGTGCGGATTCAGCCTTCGGGCAGTGCATTCCGAATAAAGCAGGCACCTGAAACGTCGAGATGGAGAAAAGGAGAAAGGTGAGAGAGGCCGGTACGAGCATGCAGAGATAAAAGCGCTGTCTGAGGATCTCATGTTCCACAGGGGTGGTATGAACCCCTTTGAGATGCCTCGCCAAGCGCAGCTCCGCTGAAAAGTTCACAAAATCATCCGAAGCATCAGCCGTAGCGGCTTGTCTTTAGTTTCTATATGTCCTTAGGCGGTTTAGCTATAAAAGGTGGGAGAACGCTACTTTAGGAGCACTCGCATTGTTGCTTCAAGGATGCAGGACATGTTGATTGTACTTGTACAAAGGTTTATCTACTGCTCATGTTTTCATACAGGGAAATCGCTCAATTGCAGTACAGGATCCTTTGTCTCAAAGGAGGATCCCACAATCTGATCTGGGGTCAACTTTACATTTGAAGGATGTCCTCCATTTTCTGAACCTCCCCTCGTCAGCCACAAACGGACCTCGCAACCGAGGCTCTTAGCGCTCATGCGAGTGCAGCAAGAGAAAGGGGTCCTATCGGAGCAAGAGGTGGGTCCGTGTAGATGGGTGAGGCGATCAGGAGACTTGCTTGTGGGTCGAGTGCCGTGTTCAGTTCGGCCTTCATTGCCCCCCTGCCGGGTCATCATGATGGCACCTAGGGCCTAGGGGGAAAGAGAGGCGTAACGGAAGGCGGAGTCGCAGTGTTTCTGTAGTCGGGTTCGAGCATGGGAGGAGTTTCAATCCTTGGGGATCCAAGCCGCGAGTTCTCCAGTTCCTGGAAATGCAGAACCACAAGGAATACCATGTTGATATACGGGTAGCGGGTAGCTTTTCTCATGGATGGTGATTTTGCAAGCAAGTCGTAGAGAGACAGTTTCGTTCGGGTTTTTGGAGCCGCATGGGTTCGGGGGGTCACGGCTCTTTCGGAGCTGTTCTTTCCCAGTCTTCTTCGTACGATTGCTCTCGCCACCCTCGTCCGTTTGGGCAAAAATTTACCTTAAGAACCTAACACCAACTTTTCTGTAGGTTCTTATTATACACCCTAATATGGGATTTATAGGGACCCTACAAAAACGTAAGTTTGGGGTTCTTAAAGTTTTGTTGGTGCCGTGCGATCTCGGCCCCAGACCTGTCATGCAGGCGCAGATTCTTGATGGCGCTATGGGCCTGGCAGGTAAGAAGGCGAAATGGGGCCGAGGGCAAGTGGGAAGAATTCCGTACTTGGGGTTCGGGATCAATCAAGCTTGTTTTTTTTTGAGGGCAATCTGGCTGAAGGTAAGACGTCCTTTGGCTCTCTCTCACTCTTTCTCTGTCTCTCCCTCTCTCCATAGAGGTGTGTGTATGTATGTAGTTGCTTCCGTGTCAGGTCTTGCATTGGCACTGTTGCGACAACCGCATGTATGCAGACGTATCTGCGCAGAGGGACACACGGAGAGAGGGCCCAGAACCCTCCACCGTAGCCCTGGCGAAAGAAAGAGTGAGAGAGAGAGAGAGGGAGAGCTGCAGATCGACACGACGCGACAAGTGAATAACCTAACCAGGCACAGGACAGGCCTTGCACTGTCGTGTCGTCATCTTCACCTAGGAGCACGTAGACAGGAAATCTCTTGGGCTTATATGTGGAGCAGAAGCAACGGCAGTACAGCCGGGGTATTTGCGGTACCTGTGGCACAGTAGGGTATATATACATGTGTATGTATGTATGTATGTATGTATGCATGCATGTATGTACGTATATATATATATATGTATACATACTATACTAATACACAGTATAGCTTTTTATAGTATTTCATATTTATATAGAATATTATAGCAGATTAAGGTTTACTAATGTCTAGGCCAGGCACAGTGGCATAGTGGCACTGAAAACAAAAACTCCTCACAGAGTCTCTCTCGGACTTTGCGGGCGAGGGAGGTCCTGGAAGAGCTGAGCATCTGTGGGCCCCATCAAACTCGAAGTCACCAAACCGAAGCGCAAAGCCTAGACCCTAAACCCTGAGCATCGTTCTCAGCACTGCGAGAGGGAAAGAAACCCCTGAACTGCCCAGAAGCAACAGCACTAGGAGACGGAAAATGGATATAAGACAATCTACCGTGAGCTTGAGTGACACAGGACACACAGCCTCAGTCAACCTTGGCGTCCGACCTAACCCACAGGCAGAGGCAAAGAGGGGTCAAACAGAAAACCCAACGTAGCCAAATCGTAGTGAACTGGCGTACCGAGAGACCTCGCCTGGCGGAGTCCGAGTTGCGAGAGCGTATAGGGGTGGGAAACATTGACAGCACTATACGGCTGTGTTGCTGCAATGGACCTCCGAATCGTGTGGAGGGACCTGTGAAAGCACAATCATGCCAGGGCCTCCGGAGGATCGGAGGATAGCAGAGAGGTCTGAATAATTCGTAATAGTATCCTTTGATACTCTCCAAGAATTCATATACCATCATATCCCTCCCCCGCCGACTCTCTATTCTAGTCATTTAGGCCCCGATATTTCACAGGCTGGGTCATGCCTTACGAGGATCGAGGCATGACTTGCTTTTGCAGCGTCCGAGGGCTTTCGGGCTTCAGTTTTGGGTCTCGGCTTTGGGGTTTCTTAGTTGAGTTTTGAGGGGTAATCCCCTCCCGTAATATCAAACGGGAGCCCCCCCCCCAATAACAACTCGGAAAGCGTGCTTATGACTAGGCGGTATGTTTATCTCAAAAGTCGTTTGAGGGATCTTGCTCTTGCTCCCCCTGGTTTTTGCTCACGGCGTCAACCGTG